AAAAAGAGTAAGTTTTTGGTAAAAGTTCCTTGCAGTCTTTGACAAGCTTTTGAGATATTAGCATTTTGATGTAGTTGCTTGTTTTTTTGTTGATCAATTTTTTCAAATTGAATTTTTATTTATAAAAATTTTTGAAACTAAGTTTCATAGGTTTGGGTATGGGGTTTGAGTAAGGGAATTATAAAAATTTTTATAAATAACCTTTTAACTCTATATAATCTATACAAATATAATTATACTTAATTATCTAACTGTTATTAATGCAATTAAACTAGTACTTTATTCTACTATGCTATTTGCCTATCTTCAAATCTTTTTTATAACATTATTAATAATTTGCTTAATTATTTTTTTAATAGTTTTACTTTCAATATATTACTAAAAATTATATTCAACTTATATAGTCTAATTAAAAACCTTGATTATATCTAATCCTATAATATATCCAACTTAATATCTCTGCTATTAACTTTAACTAACTTAGTTTCTTATGATTTATTTAATTCAATTAATAACATTATTCTATTTATTAAAATTACTAATATGCTTTTTATCAAATTTCTGTTTTATCATATAGGTTTTGCATACCAACTTCATACAAATTAATAATTAAATTCATACAAACTGACAGTCAAATTCATACAAACTGACAGTTAAATTTATACAAATTGATAATCAAATTTATTATTAATCTATAGTTTTTCTATTACTATAATGATAACAGAAACTGTTCAACTATAGTATAATGACTATAACTTAACAAATTCTATACAAAGTCTACAATAAACTAAGACAGAGATAACAATAAATAGTATATAAAAATACTAAATATTGCATTTAGTTTATTAATTATAAAATATATGAAGATACTTTTTAATTATATAAAAATACTTATATGAAGTGTAGAAATATTTAACTTTTTTGAAGGATTAAAAAGTAATGCTTATATAGATATTTTATATGTATAAATAATTACAATAAAGACTATTCTATTGCTAATAAATATTATATATAGTAATGTGAAGATATATAAAAATTAAAAGATATAATGGATATTATAAATATAATAAAAATAATAGAACTAATAGATCTAGTAGAACTAATAAATCTAGTAAAAATAATAGATTTAATAAAAATGATAGAAATAATAAATTTTTAGTACAGTAATAAAAACCAATCAAAATCAAGTTATATGTACTTAAATTAGTACTTTTATTAAATCATCCAATTTTGTAATCTTGTAATCAGAATTACATAATATTGTACTTATTAGAATTTTTTTAGTGAACTGAATTCAATAATGATTTTTCATCCAATTTGGTTTGGTTTATCAAAAGTTATAATTAAAAATATGTAAACTCTTAATGTTAATACTAAATTTATGTAATTTAAATTATTAAATTATGAGATATTATGATTTAATTCAAAGTAGTATATATGAATTTAATTGTCAATTTGTACAAATTTAACTATTAGTTTATATGAATTTGACTGTTAGTTTGTATAAAGTTGATATGCAAAACCTGTAATTAACAAATCTATTCTCAAATCTGGATACCCTATTGTGCTTCTAGGCCTCAATTTAGTAAACAACCTTATTCTTTTCTAATACTATGCACTTCTTAAAATTCATTAAATCAACAAACATTATTTAATTAGTTGTTCAAAAATTGAAACTTGGTACCCAAATGAATCAAATATCAACATTAAATAAAACAAGAGAACACTGATTTAGTTTCTAATTATAAATACTGTTATCAGATACAATTTCCAAACTGTAATAAGTAAAAAGTCTGATCACTAAATAAATAATTTTATATTATAAGAATCTTCTTATTTATATAATCATTAAATTTAAATATAAAATCCTTATGCTTACTAATTAAGTAACAAAATAGTAGGTATTCATAAATTTAATATAGTAAATATTTATATTATAAATATTGTTTAATGGCTTATTTTTAAATGCATATATTAACAAAATTCTTTATACTTAACTCATTAGATCAATACAAATAATGTGAAATTAATAAATAATAAGTTTAATAGTAGCTTATTTTATAAACTTGAATTAATAAATTTTTTATACCACATATGATTAAAACAAAACAAATAAAAATCAAATATTAAATACTCATAAAATTTAATGTTTTATTTCTTTGACTAATATAAGTTTTTTATAATCATCACTAAATTAATATGAACAAATGAAATTAAATAACAGATAATTATTAAGTTTAATCAGTTACTCAAATACTTTGATTCACAAGCCTATGAACTAAATTCATACAAAACAAATGAAATTAAGTAGTACTTATTCATATTTAATTAACAAATATTGTTTATACTCATATATTAAATAAATGACTATTTTAGATGTTAAATAAATAAATATTTATAATATTATGCAATAATTGATATGAGTAAATAAAATTAATGTGAAATTCAGTGGCATGCTTTAAATTCTCAAATCAACAAAAAGTTCTCTAGACTTAATGCATTAGATTATACAAATAAGATGATATTAAATAATAAATATTTATATATAATAGAAAATTTTATGTGAATGTGCAAATTGATAATTTAAAATAGATAATTTATATATATATCTGTAAATAAAACAAGTAAAAGTAAGATCTAACCTACAAGTATTTATAGACTTATGCATAATGTTGTATAAATATAAAAATAGCCACAAATATAGAAAAACAAAGTCACAAAGAAGTGCTACCCAATTAGATGCAAAAGAGATATACTGATTTAACTTGTCTGTAAACCATATACTATATACTTTGTACTCTGTTACTAGTTTATAATCTTGAAATTTGGCCTAAATCAGGTTTAATTCAGTTCAATATTTGAAATAACATGCATGTGTAACAATACTGTATAACTAATCTTTGTAATTGTTAAGTTTTAATTAGGAATTTGTAAAACTAAAGAATTCAGAATTTTTAGATCTGATTACAGTAATTTGAAAAGTGCAATAATAAGTTTAATGAATTCAAACAATTGTATTGTATATTAATTAATGCTGACATCAAATATAATATTTCAAAAAAAACTTCTTAGTTTATATATTATATATGTTAATAGATATTAATTAATTATTTGCCCACCTGTATAACATATGATATTATTAATGAAATTTAATCCTATTTAATATTAAAGTTAGTTTTAAAGCTTAGAGAAAGGCATAGTTATATTAAAATTTTGGAAGGAATCTCTTTTGTCAGAACTTCAATTAAGAAATAACAATATAATATCTGAATTTTTTCATGTACAGTATGTACAGTAGCCAACAAAAGTAATGCCTGATTTTTGATCAAAAAATAAAATTTTTATTTATTTAATTTTGGCCACAAATACATTAAATTTTTTTTATATTTATTTAATATTTTACTGAGTGCTCTTCTATACTTGTGATAGCATTGATTCTTCATATCATTGAGTCTGCAATAACACAAAGAACCAATATATCCAAATTTGATTATACTTTCTATAAGGTATTTTAAGGTCAGATTTATTCCTTGAGAAGTTATCATGGTTCTGTATATTGTCCTTTATGATCTTCCAAATATTTTCTATAGGGTTAAGGTCAGAAAATCATAAGGGCCAATTTATATAATCAATATTTTTTAAATTTAGCCAATTTGACACCTTATGAATTAGAGCATTGTTATGCTAAAAAATTAGATGGAGGATGTTTAACAAACAACTACAGCTAAAAACAGTATAAGATAGTTGTTTAATACTTTAGTATAAATGTTTTTATTAATTTTTTGTTTGGGATCTTTGTAATTGTCAAAAAATACTATAGAAACTTTGATATTATTAATAAAACATGATCAAACCATTACTGAGACTCTTTTATTTCTAAAATTTGATTGCAAACACTCATATTTGTATCTCTCATCTACATAACATCATATACAAACTTGGTGAGATTATTTATCTATTTCTATATTCATTTTATCTGAAAAAATGATATGTCTCCAATAGTAAACATCTTTATTTTTATTCTGATTACATCATTCTATATGTCTTTCTATATTGTTATTAAATAAAAAAGATTTCAAAGCAGTGATGCAAGAATGAAGTCTAATATTGTGTAAGGTCCTAACTACAGTCTGTACACTGCATTGAAGGTTTAAATCCTTTACAATTTTGAACAATGATATACATCTTTCCTTCAATGCTTTTTTTACTATAACAGTCTTCTCTTGCTTTTTTAAGATAGAAGAACATCCAGACCAAAATAAATTCTTAATTTTTTTGATCCTTCTGTATTTTTGTAAAAACCTTCAGGCAGTTGTTAGGTCATGTTTAATCTTGTGGCCAACTTGTTCAACACTCATTGTACTGATATGAGCAAGGATCATTTCTTTCTCTTTTTCTGTCATTTGTTTGCATGACATTTTTATTAAAAAAAAAAATCTTTTGCATGTGCTTGGTTTCTTCAATGTCAAAGAAGCAAAAAATAAAAAAAATTTGTCCCAAAATTCGTTAGAATGGGGTACGCACAGCCCTTTTATTTGCTCATGTGTGACGATCTGCAAATCGGGTGTTACTTTTGTTGGCTACTGTACAGTACGTATAGTGTGTATAGCATACATAATACACATAATAGATGTAGCATTTATAAATCAATTATATGCAACATTGTGCAAGGAATAATTTTTGTTAGAATGCAAAAGACAGTTTCATAATCAAGATTTTGAGATAGGGATTCTTTAATGATTTGTTCTAGAATATTCTAAAAAATTTTTTGCGTACTGTACTGAACGCGGCACATCACTAGTCGTACCTCAGATTAGAATAAGCATAGGTTTAAAATTGAGTTGTTTGAAAATAAAATTTGTCTCTGAGGTGCATCAGACCAGTTTTATCATTTATATGTCATACTGAAATACACATAATAAATGACATGTTAATATTACAAATTAATAAAATTTGGTTCACTTGAAATTTCTTACATGCATTTGGCATAACTAAACATTATGGTATATTACGCAAAATTTTGGTAGTTATTGATATATATTTAATTCTTTATATTTATTTAGATTAATTCTTCTTCACAACATTTTTATATGCCTCACAACCATCGCAAGAATAATGATCATAAAATAACAGAATACCAAGTATTACAGTATTACGAAGAAATTATAAAGACCTACACAACTAGCACAAATCAGAACACGAAATCAGCGATTTGGTACAATTGATATATGCCCACGCAAGATTTTAGATTAGAATCAAACATTTAAATATTGTGCGAGTCGTTAGATATGATAGAATATTCAAGCATATTTCAACAGATTATGGGGGCTTGTTGGGAAAAGGACAAAAAAAAGATTATCAATAAACCAATTTTTATATTATAAATTTTATAATAAATCATAAGAAAATGCAAACTTTAAAGAGCTATACTGCAAAATTTTATTAATACAACTACTTTCGTATCTTAAGTGAAAAATGATACTAATTTTATTCTAAATTGATTTATGTAAAAAAAAAATCCTTTTGAAGAAATTATCATTTTCAGCCCTTTTCCCAGCACCTAGCCCATATATTTGTTAAAGAAGCTGCCCAGAATCAAAATACTGGTGGCATTCTTACAAAAGTATGTGCAATCGTAAAAGTAATTATGATGCTAATAAACATTACTGCATTGTTGCAAAAAAAATTGGATTTAAATGTAAAAGCAAATGTTATAAAATAATATAGTATAGAATTATAGATTAGTGAATTTATTTTTCACCATATAAATTTTAAATTATCGATTTTAATTTGAAGCATAATAAGATAAGTTTGATCTGATACATCGAAAAATCAAATTTCTGTCTAATACAACTCGATTTCAAATTTACGCCCATTAAAATTTCACGCACAACATATATACACATAACTAGAAATTCTCTATTTAAAAAACTTACACGATTTTTCTAAAATTAATCACACTATGAAATGTTTTGATCGACAACGAAATAAGATTAATAATGATTTTTAGCATTTCAATAAAATTTGTTGAAATACAAACTTTGAAAATAATTTTTATTTTATTAGCAAAGAATTATATTTATGAAATGATATAAACAACTGAATCATGTACATGTTATTTAAACTTTGCAATTGTGATCAACAACCAATTCAACCTATAAATCAATCCATCCAAGCTTTTTCAATACTTTTAAAATCATCATCTTATCAAGCAAATAGGAATACGTATATATATCAATCAGCAATGAATAACAATTCGTTCATATGGCACATGTCTAACATAGCCTTCCAAATCCTTTTCAATATCTTCTAATTCAATGCCTGTAACATTTACATATTTTAAAGTCTTCTTTCGAGTACGAAACTCGATCAATGTTTCTGAAAATTTCTTTTTACCACAATTAACGTTAATTAATAACCTTACTAAAGGAGCATTACAATAATTGAGTAAAACATCATTGTGTGAGTTGGTCCGTTGAGTTTGCCATTCCAGATACTGTAACGTCGGTGGTAATAACTTTGCAAATCGCATAACACGTCTTTTCGTGACATTAGCCTTTTCAGAAGCAACTTTTAACCATTTTAAAGTAAGGAATCGAAGTCTTTGTAAATTTTGAATAAGCCTCAGAATTTGAGTAGAGAATTTGATATATGAAATATAGAGATATATAATGTTTGGACAAAAATTTGTAAGCGTCTCTAATAATAATGATTGTGAAATAATTTCATAATCCGTGTCAATTTGTAGTCTTTTTAATAAAGGACCGGATCTCTCCAGAATTCGAATTATATTCGAAGCATCAAAGTGACGAGAATGTATTTCTAAAATTGATAGTTTGCAAGTACTTGTAGATAAGATTTTCAATAATTTTTGATCTTCAGCATGAAAGACACGAAATACTTCTAAATTTTCACAATTCATTAGCATCTTGAATTCGGCACTGCAAGCACATTTGACAATTTTAATTTCTTGTAATGATTTACATTGACTCTCTAAAGCTGAAACGATACTTCGTAACTCAATTAGGTAGCCTAATTTGTAGTTCAAGCTAATCCTCTTAAGATGTTGTTGAGACTTAATGATATTTGCAAAAACGTTATGTATTGGTTGAGCATGAATAGAATTCAATGCTTCGAGTCTCAAAGAACGAAGTTTTGTGGCACTTGTAGCCAAAATTCTTAGTAGCATGATAGCCTCATCCATACTAATTTCTGAAGATACACCTTCCACAGATACATCTTGAAGTCGAGAAAAAAAAAGTTCATTTCGACCTAATAAATAAAAGATCTCTGGTTTGACAATAAAATCCGAAATATAGGCATGTAACTTTGATAAAGTGGCACCACTCTTGATAAACAATTTGAGAAGTAAATTAACAATTTCTCTAGATATACGTCTTCGTGGATCAACACGTAGAAAATCAACCCATTGTTGAACCTTACACACAATACGAAATAAATCTAGAACTTTTAAAAATTTAGCATAATGAAAGAGGGTCTTGGAAGGAAATTTAGCCATTAATCCACAATTATTTAGAACAGATTTCTCATCATCATCAAGGGACGAAAAGTATCTTGTTATAAACAACGGTAATTTATTGAAAGAAAATGGATCTCGCCAAAGAATGGGAATTGAAGTCTTGCACCAATGTCGATTAACCAAAGCGCATGAATATAATGAATAAAATTCATTGCTCAAATTATTAAGAATATTTTCCATTAGTTCGGGCATATCACCGGTGAATATTTTTGAAGCCATCATACATAACTCTTTATTTTTGGTAAGAATCAGAGAGTGAGAGATTTTAAAGTACGCACGTTATAACGTTGTATTTATGTGTTACGGTACATCAGTTTTTATGGTAATACGTTACACGAGTTATCAACAACTTTGTTATTGGCTGGTAATCCGATATCGGAACTAAATCAAAACGTTTATCTTTACCTATTTTAGGAGAACGTTAAAGCCAGGGTACCAGTTAGGGTTACTTTTTTGATTCAGTTCGGGTGTGCGGGTTATATAGATATCAAGAATACAATTTATGCAGTATGTAGATCTATTATATGAATGTACCTGGCTTTTAATAATGGCTCTTAAATAAATCATGTGCACATAACCACACGGGTTAGAAATTCCGATCCAGTCAACCGATGTTAATGAAGTCAATTGAAGTCTATTCATAAATACGAAATTCGTCAATATCGATTACCTAACAAAGTCCAATACGGATAAGGACCAAGGCGCATTGTCCTAATGCGGTTTTCTTTAATTTTGCACGTAAAACACGTTTGTTTGTTTTGACTATCACGTTACACCTGATCTTAAAATTTGATTGGGTCAAATTACATGGGTGACCAATTTTTGGCGGTAAAAGCAATAACTTTCATTTTATTGAGATTTACAATTTATGCGTCTGCAAGTAAATTATGTACCGCAAATTCTCGAAATAGCGGGTATGGGCGTTATTTTGAATTTTGGTACGAATTAAGCTTAATTCGGGTCAAATTTAAAATAACGTCCATGCTATTTCGAGAATTTACGCTAACGCTAAGATTTAATTGGTTACAATTTTAGAATTATGTAGTTATTGGACCAGGATGGGTGGGTGACTCGAGTTGAGTTGTGATAACCCAGGTGGAAACAGGTAGGTCAACTCACGGGTGACCCATTAATGTAAGTCTTACTATTGGAAAAAAAGTTCAGAATAGTAGAGCATAAAATACGGGCAAGTTATTGAAAATTTCGGGTTTTGTAAATCGGTTCTGATTTAACTTCCTGAAATCCATTTTTCTAAAGTTGTTTTTAAAAGAATGCACTAACTTTAACTCAATTCTTAACCTGACCCTAAAGACAATGACCAAAATTACTTTATCGGTAAATTAACAAACTTGTCGGTTAATTGATATTATGTAAAATAACACTGACCTATTTTTGTCCTGTTAGTAAAATGGATTGTCGGTATTACAACTTTAGTGAAATGGTATTTCAGAAAAATGGACTTTAGGAAAGTGAGCTACAACCGTAATAAATCTTGAAATTTTGATTTACATGTTATTTTCTTTTATATCCGGGTAATCCGGATGACTTACCCGTGGGTGGTCTATGACTTACCCTTGGGTAGTCTATAATAAAATTCTTTTACCACCCAGGTGACCTGTAATAAAATTTTTTTTTTACCATCCAGGTGACCGGTGGCACTTTTCTGAATGGGTCTAATCACTAGAATTATGCAACGATCTATATATAATTGAGGATGCCCTCAGAAAATATGTCACGGTTACACGAAAAATTAACATAAATTAAATTTATTGCTTAGCAGTAGCAAATTAATACGTAAGTACAGTACGTAACAGGTAATAAATTTAGATATACTTACAAATTCAGCTACGTACGCAAATCAATACACATACTTTTTGCATAATTTATGTTAAGCTTTTTTGTGCAACTGTGATATACTTTCTGAGGGTACCGTACATTATTACATGTTTGATAATTCTTTTTATTTGAGTGTATCAAATTTGTTCGGTACATAGAAAATTAAATAAAACTGAAAATTTTCTAGTATAATAGCCGTCAATTATATCATTTCTACCATTATACATTTATTATTACTTATAAAAATCATTAAGCCAGTAAATATTTTTAAAAAGATTCTTTAATTCCTAAATTTGAGATCAATTAAGCTATAAAAAATAAATTGCCTTTTCATAACTTATCTAGGACAAACTTTTACATATTTTAAAAACGTGGTGGACTTTTAAAATTAGCATTTGCGCATGTTATTATGATTGTTGATTAAATATATATAAAAAAAAACATTTATATTTGTTGCCCAAATGTAATGGAATTATATCTAGTTATGCCTTACATAACTTTTGTTGTGGTTATGTTATGGCAATACCCAGCATTCATAACTCCGCGAAATCTTAAGTTTGATTGGTCCGCGTGATTTATTCATCAAATTTTGGATATTTTTCATACATGAATATATACATACATTCGGATGTGTAGTTTCTGAATACAAAAAAATGCAAACGTAAGCAATTTCGTAATTGCGATAACTAACGTAACGATAGTAAAAGCAAGAATTTTAGACTCAAAGATTGGCAACCCTGGTAGTGTATATCAAATGCTTACAATATATTAATGAGATGCTAAATCAGTTCTCACTTGTACGTACTTGGACTATTTGTTAACTACCATATTTTCTTTCGTTCCTGGTTT